CTGCTACCTTTCTTTCACTGTCATCATCTAATTTAATAGAATCTTTTTGTAGTTCAGCCATTAAATCATTTGTGGCCATAAATCTAAAGTCTTTGTCACTTGATGTCATCTATCATGGATCAAAGAAAGAAAGCATACTATTAGATATAAATTAAAACAATAGAACTTCTCCATTATCAAATAGTAATACCATACTTCTTTAATACTTTGTAGAGCACTTTCTTGAAAGAAACTAAATTTTAGGTATATTATTATCATAATATCATTATATTATTATATATTTCAGCACTAGAGTACAAACACTAAAACTGTGCAACATAAATGCCACTAAATACTGCCAAATTATGCTAATTCTATTCAGTTTTCTATTGTTTAATTAACACTATTTTGTATAGTCTGTGTTACATCCAGAATTTCAGCGCAAGAAACCATGTTCTAGACCCCCAGCGAACTATGCGATTATATATATAGTTTATATATAGAAAACCAAAACTGGAGAAGACACTCGGGAAAAAAAAAAAAGATACTAAAGATGCGAAACAAAATTCAGGAAGTGTCACTGTTCAAGTCAAATGGCCTTCTAAAACTTCAGGGAGAGAACTTCAAGACGATCTTGATCCATTAGGAAAAATGCTTGTGCGAGGAACGTGTAAGCAAATCGCAACCACTGTTTGGAAAAGTCAGAAGCTACAAAAGGAATTAGTTGACATTCATTCATAAAGAAATCGAGAAAGATTTCACCTTTATGTGTTTAATGACATCGTTGAAATCGCGGCGGGAAATAAACTCCGCGAGAACCCCGCAATATCTATCGCCTTGTTGAACTTATACATAAAATCCGCTAGAAATTACATCCGGTTTAGTCTACGTATCCAATGAGAGTTCGCGTAAGAATTAGCGTCATTGAGAGCCAATCAGAGTCGACCATATATAATCACATAGTTTGCTGGGTGTCTAGAACATGCTTTCTTGCGCTGATTCACAGACGGAAATTAGATAGAAATTCCAGGATGTAACACAGGCTATATTTTGTAGTAAATAGTGGAAAGTATTGCACACATTTAATGTTTGTACTCTATCAAATAATATTTTCTTAATGCTCCACAGAGCACTGCCCACATGATTTGAATTTGATGACAAATGGCAACAGTAGCCATTCTGATGATTTTCAAATAAACTTCCCCTGAAGCATCCCTCACTTTACYTCATAATGCTACTAAAGGACAACTTCCTAATTCTGTAATCTGAGATATTCCCATATGATAGTAGTAAGAGCCCAGCATTATTTTGTGCCTTAAAATTTTAACATCGTGTTCAATGAAATGGGCTAAAAAGAGTTGGGCACTGGACTAGTGGATTGAGTTMTATTCTTAAATGAGTGTGGTCAGTATAACTTATTGCATACATGTACATGACTTGTTTAAGTTGAATTTCAAAACCATATGACTGTATTTGTGTGAAAAGCACCTCCTAGAAAATTTTAATCATTTTATTATCATGTTTAAATGGTGAGCAAGTGAAAATATGTAAGATAAATAAACCTTTGTTTTCTCCAACTTTTAGGTAACATGGACCGCAGAGCAGGGGGGGCTGTAGGGCTACAGCCCCCCACCCCCACCCCCCAATAATTTTTCCGCCATTTTGAATTTTCTTAGATAAAGAAGTGAAGAGCCTCCTGGTGAAATTTCACTTTTAATTATATAAAGATTGTGTAAAAATAATTAMAATTGAAGCTTTTTTGCAATGTCTTTGGGATTTTATTGAATATCATGTGACCGTGTGTGCAGTTTTAGCGGCCAGAAATATGTATTTGAAAATGCCTCAAAACGCTGGAAATGACATCTCCGAGAGTTAAGATTTCAAAATTTTCCAGGGAGAATACCCGAAACCCCCTACTCCTGCGTTTGGCAGCCACTAGCCCCCGAAACAGGTTCTCGCTCTGCGGTTCCTGGGTAAAGGTAAGTACATTTGATAAGTGCAATTATTTGATGTGCATGTATGCATTCTGAACCTATTTTGACCTATTTTCCTGATAMATTGTCAGCGTCCTGTATGTCTAAGGAAACTCTAGCATAATACATTTCAAATGTAAACCCTTAACAATTCATCCTTCACTAAATGACTGGTCCACAGAGTAGTACTTTGTTAGTATGATCAAAGCAAAGGAGAGTGAAATAGGAATTAAAATTGATGCTTGCTATAAAATATCGTAAATAAAAAAAATTTGACAGCATGTTGCTGGACTCAAATGTCAAATAGTTTTATAAAGGTTACTTAATTGTTTGGAGCAAGTAAGAAACAATGTCTATCTGACAGTGTCATGTACATTTTAAGTACGAAAACTAGTCCAAGTAGACAATGGTGCTTTCCCAGCTACTTGGACTACTTTTCATACTAATTGAGTAAGTAAGTTTGACAAATGTTGACATTCGCGTTGATATTTGTCTCACAGAGAAATTATTCCATAATTAGCGTTTAAAATCATAATGGCTTGCACAGACCGATTTGACAGCAAGCTATCTGCGCGCCGCGCGGGATTCCTGCAACATGCATTTTGGCAGTATCAATGAAAATCAAACACAAATTACCTTGTCCAGCAGCGACGCAATGTGGTACGGAGAAGTTGTCATCTTGACGCTTTTTCTGATGCACCTCTGGTATAATTCAACGAAAATTACGGAATAAACTTCAATAAAACCCTGCTTCCTTCTAGATCTCAAGACATCAAATAGAAACGAAAAATGGATGAGGCCAAGTGACAACAACGCGCATGATCATTTAACACCGCTGACCTGACTACACTGTTCTGGTGCTCGTTCTCTCCACAATCTCGTTCCAGAGCCCGCGTTCCTCTTGGCCTTAACCTGAGTATCAGGCTCTTGGGGGGAAAAAACGGAAGGMCCCCTCGAAGGCCTGATATTCAGGTTACTTGGCCTGGGGGCGCATTGTTCTCTCCACTGTTAGCCTGACTGTTGTAAAAAGATTACTTTTGCGTAAGACACTAATACAATAGACAATACAATAATAATAATTTAATCATAAAAGTATAAAATTATTTWAATGAAAAGGTTTAAGCCAAGTTTTAATTTCTTTTTAAAAAAATAAAAATTGATTTTACTGCACTACACGGACGTTCTCGGGAATAGAGTTYCATAACTCAGGAGCAGCAAAAGAAGAGATCTTCTGCCTTCTGCCCAACAATGTTCCAATGTTTCCCTACTATTTTTGATATCATAAACATAATTTTGATTATCCTACTTTAATATTCAGGCTGCGGTATCAAGCATTTTTCATACGGGGACGAACTTTGATTCTAAACTTTGAAGGAAACGAGATCTGGCATCCGGGTCTGGCATACGATCCAATGATCATTTTATAAAGAGGTACTTCTTATTAGTGTATATTATACTAAATTTTAAATACTGAACCGTGAGGGTCACGTTACGTCGTTACTTATTTTTTTACCAGAAGTACATGACCATGGTTATGTACTTCTGCTTTTACTACTTGCCTAGCATTTGGTTAGAGTTGGACCAACCATGAATCGCGAAGCAGGGGGGGGGAAGGGCTGGAGGGCTACAGTAATTTTTCTGACATTTTGAATTTTCTTAAATAAAGAAGCGAAGAGCCTCCTTATAAAATTCCACCATACATATTCTATAAAAATTGTGTAAAAACTGAGCGTGAACAATTACAATTGAAGCTTTTAATTTTTGTCTTTGGGATTTTATCGGATTAACATCAAGTAACATGTCTTTGGGATTTTATTGATAATATCACTGTGCGTGTGAGCGGTAAAATGTCTTGGATAACGCCTCAAAACGCTAGAAATGACATTTCCGAGAGTTAAGATTTCAAAAATCTTCTAACTCCCCATGAGTATATATCSTCGCCGCTAGTCCCCCCAAACAAATTCACGCTGCGCCTCATCTGGGTGCGGGAAACCAAAATAACCGTTGGTGGGAACTAGCGGTAAACTAGTGTGAGCTGCGTCGGTGTTTCAAAAGATGTTAGCTGAAATTTCAGCGCTGCCATGCCCATCATCTTACAATACAGCGTAGCTCACCATAGGCCGCCCAACTAATACATTAGAGACAGAAAAGAACGAATGCGCACGCTTTAAAAATGTATTTATGTATCGGCGTGCTCTTAGAAAAATTCGGGTTACCTGTGGTGTTACGTCACGATCTCGCGCCTCGCGGGACTACACTAATTTGCGATACCCAGTTCCAGAGTAAAATCGCTGAAAACGATACCCTTGTTGGCGGCAGTACAGTTGGCGGGACTACACTAATCTGTCACAGATAAAGATGTACTCGCGAGGCGCGGGATCGTGACGTAACAACACAGGTAACCCGAATTTTTCTAAGAGCACGCGCCGATACATAAATACATTTTTAAAGCGTGCGCGCATTCGTTCTTTTCTGTCTCTAATGTATTAGTTGGGCGGCCTATGAGCTCACTCGTGAGAGATTTTCAACACGAGAAGATAAAATTCGTATTTCAAAGCGACCATGTAATATTCTGTTTTTTTATCATATAATTAAATATGCCGAAAGCAAATTATGTCGGAAAATATCTATTTTCTTACTTCCACTATATAGAGAAACCTCGAATGTGTTATTTTCACTAGTGAAAATAACATGTTATTTTCACTAGTGAAAATATTTCACTAGTGAAAATATCAATTTTACTAGATAGCCTGTGTACATCCGTTTCTCACCCCTCAAAAAATCGGGGAGAGAAGACGTTCTCTCCCCGATTTTTTGAGGGGTGAGAAACGGATGTACACAGGCTACAATTTTACGTAAATGGAGAAATATATGATAAAATAACTAAACCTATTCACGTGGAACTGAGCAATTAATATGCCTACACAGGTTTAGGACAATTGTCATAGAAATTATAAGATAATGTTATATGTTCTTGGGGAAAAGGTAGGGGAAGTTGAGAAAGCCAAAAGAGAGAGAATAATGACTAATGACTAATGTCGCATAACAAAAGAACATAACTTTAGGGACATATGATGAACAGAACGGGGATGAGATATGCTTTGCGGTCAACATATGGTTTGAGAACGTGATTTTYGGCGAAAAACTAGATTTGCACAGGTCTCCAATGTAACGAACTGTTTGCAGAAAATAGTTGCATTTTCGATAGACCTAACCAACCAATATCTCCCATTACTTGTAATTTATATATGGTATGCCGCTGTCGCGCCCCTCTTTTTGACCGTCAAGTAATCCTCTACCTTATTCACTGCTATTGAACTAATAATAGTTTCCATTTCAAGTTCYGTTTTYTGTGTATCTATAAACGAACAGACGCACGTAGTCCGTTTGTTTTAATTTTCCTCTTATTTTTTTCCAAAGCGTAATTTCAATGAAATGGTTGAACACACACTATTAATACATCGCCATCTACATGAGCAATTTGTTAAGTGTCAACTGTATGTGGCAATTTTTATTTGSCCGTTTAGATGGTCGGCAAATATTTGTTGTCAATTTTCGATAGGGATGATTTTGGACAGCGGATATAGGCTCGAAACAACAAAATGTTGCAACAAAATTCTGATGACGTATACTAATCTGTGCTCTTCTATACGGAGGAATAGCCGAACTAAGCAGATGACTTCCTGAAATTATACCACTCTAAATATCTTATATTATATCCTTCCCTTTTATTGTCTAAGAATCCGTTGCTGACACATTGTTGTCATTGTTGACTTGTTCAAGAAGTTTGTCGCCAAGGCAACGATACTAGTTTACCGCTAGTTCCCACCATTTTACTATGTGGTTAGGCCTTTGATTGAGTACCCATCTACTCCTTTGATTGAGACATTTTAACTGTTGGAAAATACAGGTAGTCTGTGTGGGTTACCTGTGTTTTTTATATATTCAAGAAAATGTGTAAAACAATCCCCCAACATTTGAAAATCTGCATGTAGCACCACTTTATGTTAGCACTACTTATATTGTATTTGAGGTTTCTCTTATATTTGCTCAAATTCTTCGCTTTGAAAAACTTACGTAGTTCTTCAAACTTCCAAAATCAATTGCACTCCCCCCTCTCAATTTTTTTTTCTGATAAATTATTCTTCACTCCTCCGCCCATCAATACCGTTAAGCCCTACTATCCAGCAGTATCTGAACGATAATCGGGCTTCCTGTGGTGTAATAACATCGTGGCCTCAAAATGGAGGAGACGGATGTCTCTGCAAGCGGCTCGTTTTCTGACATAAAGGAACTTGCTCTTGACTCTTCTATTGAAACAGATCACTCCCCGATACCAGAAGATTGTAAAGATGAAAAAAAGGGCAAAGGAACAAAGCGTAAAGCTTCAATCGAATTGCAGCAATACAAATGCGAAGTGTGCCAAGTGAAACTCAATTCTGCTAGCCAAGCTTATCAACATTTTCAGGGAAAAGGTCACCAAGGAAAAGTAAAAATGCTTGAAATGGCAGCTGAAGTAGTAAGTATGGTTAAATTGGAGATAGTGTGAGCATTATGTTTATTAAGTGATGTTGTGCCGTGGGTTCAAGAATATGAATCTCAAGTTATGGTTAACGCACTCTTGTCTGAGTTTATCTATTGGGTCTTTCATGTGGTGACCAAGTCTCAATTTTTCTGAAATAAAGGGTAAAGACTGCAAATATGAATGCTGATATAGTATTRCTGTCTCTTAATTTGCTAAAAGAACAAACACTGTATAACCTCCTCTTGAAAGGAGCTTAATTATTGTAAAAACAGACTCGTAATTCACTTCTTGGATTAAGCTTATACCATATGCCGAAGAGGATTTTTAATGTAATAGCATATCACAAAGATTTTACACTTGTGTTATTCAAGAAATCCCATTGTCACTTATTAAGTAAGACTTTTGTTGTTTTGTTATCTTCTGAATTAAGCCAAATGAAATATTTAAGCAGAGAGGTTGAAAAATTTGACGATTCGTATTGTTTASAATTACCTTATAAATCATTGACAACTGGTAGTGCCGTTGTTAATTAGTTATTGGCAAAAGAAGCTTACTCTTGACAAATCTTTGAATATTGATGCTTATTACTTTAGATCTATCCTAAAGAGAGAAATGATGAAGAGTTTTTTAAAAATATTACCGTGTCCAGCATTGCAGCATGTGTGATGAGGATATTCATCATGTAGTCGGCTAAATTCAAATGTTGCATAAAAAGAATGGCAATCTTGAGAATACCAAAACGAGTTTCTTCCACAAATTTGGAATGGTCATTGTGAGCTTTCCGACCCTGATGATTGACACACATTATCCAATTACTCTGAATAATAAACTTGTGTTAAATGTTGTAGCAACCAAAATATAATTCCTACATACAAAAATATTCAAGAATAATTTTCAAGAGTTTATTACATGTACTTAGCTATTTTTGTTTTTAYTGAGTTTTGAACCTTTCCAAATCATTATTAAAACAGGAGTTCATTTATAATAAGTAGTAGAAGTGCCCTATCAAAGGCATAACGAAGATAACTATGTTGTGAGAAAAAAAAATTCCTATGTAATAAATCTTAAATTGTTCTTATATTAAATTCTAATCAGGTTTCACTTGTTTATTTTTTTGTTATTCCAGACAGCACCTTCTTTTAGTAGTCTTCCAGCTGTTCCTCAACATACTTCATCACAGCCTACAACAGTTTTATCTCCTTCAACTATTGAACATTACTGTGTGATATGTGAAAAAATATTTAATTCCAAGAATCAAGCAGAACAGCACTTCAGTGGAAAAGCCCATCGACATAAGCTGTCTGAAAAAGCTATTGCAAATATAAATCCCACTCATATCCCAGGTGTTTCAAGACCACCACTGGGAATGAAGAATAACGAACTTGTTACCAAACAACCTGATCTTATCAAGATAGGTGGGAATGTAAAGAGTCCTCTGTTTTCCTGTGAACACTGTCATATAACTTTGAATTCTCAGAGACAGTATGACCAACATGTTAATGGATTACGTCACAAAATCATTGTTGGTAAAGCAAAGCCACCACCTCCTCCACAGGGAGAAGAACCAGGTACATAATTACATAATATAAATGCAATAAGAATAACAATGTATTTATGATATTTAAAACCGAGACAGCAGGCACAGTAGGTATRTGTTCTCAATATGTCTAAGCAAGTATCCAAAACAAAACTAAAAAATATGAATTCTGCTGGTTTTTGTTTSAATAACTTGATTTGATAATTTGAACTTTCAGAAAGAGACAATATAATGTCTAATATTTTCTAATTCTAATTTTTTATCTTCTATTGTGTGTGTATGTGTTTTTTTTTTGTGTGTGGTGTGTGTGTGTGTTTTCTTTTTTGGTATATGTGTGTATTTTGTGTAATTTTAATTAAAGTTTTTTTTTTCTTTTATTCCATTATACAACACCTTAGACATAGTAGGATAAAAGCTATGAAGACTGTTGATTTCCTGAGGTTTAATTATGGGRACTTTTGTAAAAAAAATCAATGTTTCCATGGTTTGTATTGCTGTGTAACCTAGTAGATAGTATCTACATGAACTAGACAATAGAAATCAGTGTAGCCAATATAAGTTTTTTGAATATTCTGCATCAAGAGGCTCAGTATACTATTTCAAAATAATATGGGAAAAGCTATAATCATTAGGGATGGAAGGAATTTAGGTCTTTAGATGTAGATTGACTGTATGGCTTCAAAACACATGTGTCAAAATTTATGGCTCAAGAGAAATATTGCAAACTAAAAATTTTACTTTTATTGTTGAATTATGCAGACAATGTAAAAGAGCATAAAAAGTATAACATTTTTAATTCATAGAATCAAATACACTTTAGCAACAAATGTACATRTATAAGAAATGAAATTGTTTCATTTGGTATAAAGATGACAGAAATATTTGATTTCAAGCAGTATGTTATAAATGTAAATACATGTAACTTTACACATAGATGAAACTGCCCTTAAGTCTATGCCATGTTAAAGCAATGTAAACTAAGTCTTTTGCCAATGTGAGAGTGCATTGTCATTGTTTTTTTGTGGTAAAAGAAGTCTTGATGAATTAATCATTTTTGTTTTAAATCTTATAAAACCCTAAATGAATTAAACATGTTTTTTTTTTCAGGTATCAGGTTTAAAAGATTCAGTGGTCTAACACTGTTTTATATAGCCACATGAATTATTTATACATTTAAATTATATATCCCTATTTTTGACCTCTTATTTCAGCAAAAGGAAATTAGCAATAATACGCATATTGGTAATAAGTTTTGTTCAAAAGCAGCATTTGTACATCATWYTCAATTAGCCATATTACAAAAGTGCTGGATTTTTTAGACATTTTGTAGTTTAGTTCAACACAAGTTTYTGTATTAATATTGATAAGTCTTAGATACTACTCCTTTTTTCAAGTRTGATACATGTATGTTAAACTAAAGAGTGTTGCATGTCTATAAGGCACTTGTCTATAGCCAAACTAKAGTCCTATCCTACCATTACTTTGTGACAATGGGTTGGATATTGATTTTTTTACAAATGTTTTTTTTACAAACAGATGTTTGCAATTTAGTCAGTTACATATTTTTAATGTTTAATGTGTGGTTATTCTGTACCTTGTGCGACTTTATAATCATTGGGCATTACTAGTAAATTCCAAAGGTAAATCAGAAAGATTCATAATGCATTGAGAACAAACTGTTGAGAACATTTACAATGTACTGTGCCGTAGTCTTAAATTAATACATGTAGCACCATAAACAATTGTTCAAAATCTTCATTTATTAAATTTACAATATATTTCATGTTAACATTTCTGAGCTAGGTGTATTTCACTGTATTACTCTCATGATTGTTGTATTAAAAGGTTGGCAGGAAATTCGATATAAAAAATTGGCAACAGCAATGACTACAGTAGGATTGCTATCAAATGCTGGTGGTTCTACAATAACAAATCCTGGAGGTACAAGGCTTGGTCAATATTATTGTAAGGACTGTGATGTCAGTGTTAATTCACCAATACAGCTACAGCAGCATATGACAAGTGCTAAACATAGTGCAAAACTTAATGGTGTTGAAGCTATCAAGAAAAAGCCTGGCAGAGGGCGTTTTGGTAAGTTTATTTTCCCAAATATTAGTCTAACAAGTTCAAATATTCCTTTGGCATGCTTTCAATRTTGGAAAACTCCATTAATCTACTAGGAAGTCGCAATTTTGGCCAGTTTGCTAAATGTTTGTATTTTGAATGCATTTTGTGTGTGTGTGTGCTACGTCAAATTTAGGGAGTTTGTCTTAGTGTATGATGATATGGAATTCAACCTGATATTTTAGTTTTAGAGTAACAAATTAGAACAGGAGTTATGTCCCTCACTTGTTAATATAATGATAAATATTGTGTTTTCAGGTGTGAAGACAATAGGAAGAGGACTTACCCATGGCCGAGGAGTTCCCTCACTGTCAACTAATTTTATAAAAAGTGGCCAAATGGCTTCCAATCAGTGTACACTCAACATGGCTAAACCAGCAACCATCCATTTACATGTACCATCAAYTCCTGCATCCCAAAATGGTACTGCAGTTAACATACAGGAAGCTTCTTATCAGACTAAACAAATAAGTCATTATAATTCATGCAACTACTTTCAACCATCATATCCGACCCAATTACAAACATATCCTGCAACTTGATTTTCATTCATGGTATAATACCAGTAGCTACCCCTTTTATTTTCTCCTAAATATGGCTGGCATGCCAACAGTAATGCAGATCGCATAACCCATAAATTAAATGGTATCTCTAAACTACAAACATTAAAAGAGTAAATCWTGAGAAGTTATCTTTCAGCAGCACGTTAGTAGGAGAGTAATAATATAGCAAATGCAGCCTGCTGTTAGATGGTAAATACTTAACTTTAGATGAAGTCGAGCTCTTGCCATTGTACAGCATCATCAGGACTCAATGACGCTGATGATGCTATAGAAAACATAGTGAACTGAAGAGGTTTTTATTAAATGAAACAAGTTTTCACTATTCTTGGTAGTCCTTGGCCAGTACGTACAAAAATTATATTATGAATTGATTTTCACTTGAATGAATGTTTTCATGAAGACCATCTGGGAATATGGTTATTTGCATACAATAAATTTAATGCCATGAAACCATTTTCAAGCGACTCCTTCAAAGATTGTATATGAAGCATTCTTTGACATCATTTTCATTCACATAATATTTTGATATTGAACCTTCATAACTCAAAGACACAACACTGAAATGCAGGAATATTTCAACATTCAATTATTTATTTTATATAGAATCAGTTCACAGAGAATCAGAAATTTTTTTGTCAGGCGTCATAGGTACTTTACCAGTTCCATAAAATGTTAAGTAGAATGAATGCTGACTGACCATGGTCCTTTAGATTAACTTGATTTTCTTTTAAATATTCACACACAAAAATTTCTCAACTCACAAAATCATTCAAATGGTCTCAAATCATCCTGTTACAAGTACCAAAGGTATGTACAGCAGCAGCTGCAGACTCATTTTTAAAATGTTTGATAAGAATTAAAAACATCAAGATACATGTGGCCTAAAATAGGTAGTACACAAAGATAGTGAYATCATTAAGCTGTTGCAAGGGTTTTTTTGGTCTTAATATTTCAACAACATACTATCTTGCATGTCCTAGCGCCTGGTCAAAAGAAATCACCAGTTAAGTACTAATTAAAAAAGTTAAATCATGTCATTGTTTACTCATACCAGTTATTATTTCTACAATGTCCTARAATAGAATAAGCCATGTTCTATCCAAGTGTCTTTAAACTTGGACTAGTTTTCATACTTGACATGTTGGCTGTGACTGATGAGGCCTTCTTCACATAATACAGTAAAAAATAATTTTTGGTAATGTGTGGACAAAGCTTCAAACCAACTATTGCACTCTTCCCATCACTGTAGATTTTCTAGTGGGGGAATGAAGTGAAGCATATGATCCAGGCCCTGACTAAAAGTCAGAACATCACGACCCACTTCCCCTGACTAATAATATTGATATCAACCAAGCTCTGTCCCAGATTGTCTATAATTTATCTGCCTCATTTACTGAAGAAAATTAGAAACAATTGAAATTAATAAGCACTCCCTATGCATATTTTTAAATTTARTTASAGAGCTGTTTAAACAACTGATTACACAATTTTGTCCATGGCAAGACAGCATCAATGATTTAGTTGGAAAGGAATTCATTTTGATAAAGTTCAGCATAAAATATCTTGTTGTCTTATAATAAATTCCTTTCCCACTAAAATTTATATGTTCTCTATCTTTTTTTTTGTTTTTTGTTTTGTTTTTTTTTGTTTTTGATATTTTTTTTACTACTGGTATTCAAGCAAAACATTTAAAGTATAAGTCAGCATATATTTGTCCAGGGTACTAAATGTTGGAATTTACATATTGTTCAATGGATAGTGAATTTCATTTCCATTCAAGGACCACATGACATACAGACTCTAAATTGTTGCTAAGTTGCAGGTGATGATTGGTCAAACCTGTCAATGAGCTTTCATCAAGGTAAGTGCTTGTTTACATCGTTTATGACTTAATGATTTGTGTTCCATTTGAATTTAATAGTGAGGAATCAACATGRCCTAAGAAACACAGTAAAACAACTGTTCAGTTTATGTTTCTGTAAAGTTCACATTGTCTAGGAAGTCTTGATGATTTTTGCMCAAAAAAGGATTAAAAAGCAATCCATTGGCATTAGTGGCTTGTGTATAGTGTTGACAGCTCATCCACATATTTGGCCAGTCATATTGTTTGTTCTAATTTTAACAGATCAATAATAGAGTTAAATGTAGCATGGAAGTGAGATAAGCTTTCCATACCACCAGATCAGAGGATTGTTTACCATTGCTAACATGCATGGTGCTGTAACATACAAGCACAAAGGTAAATTTCAACCTCTGATACCCAGGGTAGCACTGTTATGAGTATATTTTTGCAGGTTCAAYCACTCAAACCATTAAACAAGCACACTGGTGGATAAAGGTGCATGYAGGCCAATTTACAAACAGAAATGTCCATATCGATGGAGCAATATTTTTGTCCTTTGTGTATTTGAGACAACAATGTGAAATGTGCTTTGTTTATGAMAATCAAATTCAAGATGTTTTAAACACACATTGTCTTGGTAAGAGTATCTGTAGCCTATTTGATGTGTATTTTAGGCAATTATATTAAATGCACTGGCCATCTGTGATAATAAACTACAGCCATTTCCAGGAAGTACACCTAGCAGAAGAATGGATGACACCCAAATCACCATGTCATTGATCTTTCTTCTTAATTTTTTCCTTCTGTTTTCAAGAACTTGATCATTTCCTTAGGGAAAATACCCTGGTCAACAGCTTTACACCAGTGACGGTACTGSAAATCAATTRATATAAAAGTTTGAAAATTTCCATGTTTCTTCTGTTTGTTCTTGCTTTCTTGTAAATTCAGTAAAATGAAGATTAAAGAGAGAACTCCCCTGTTGTGCAACTGCTTTAAAAGATATTTCAGTGACCCAAGCAATATTTCTAAGCTCCCTTTTTGCCTGACAATAGTTCATTTTTATTGTGTGCTGCGAGCTTATATATTTAACAGTTATTCCAGAGCTCACATAATTTCACCTGAAAAAAAACCTTGCTACCATGCACTGAATTTTTTAAAGCAGTAGCACACCTTGGAAATTGAATATTTTGTACTTATTGACTGAGTGGGAGGGCTGTACAGGAAAATATTTGGCTCGAGGTTATGATGTACGGATCGAGCACATACAAATGACCGTGAGCCAAATATTTTCCTGTATGGTCCGACCTAACTCAGTCAATAAGCATTTTATCATATGACAACGTTTTTTAATGTAAAAAAAGCGCGCAGAACTTCAAGCCGGGAAGATACGGGTTTGTAYGRCCCTGTCGCAAAAAGGCATACAGCCCCCATCACGTGACCATTTCCYGAAGSTTTTTTAAGAGCGYGCGTAGGGCCGAAATACRGGYCATATGATAATAAAAAATATTTTCTTGTACTGTACACCACAACGACAATAGATCTSATTTTCTTTCATGGTAAAGAATATAAACATTTATGACTTTCTATTATAGTTTTTTGAAATCTTAGCCAAAATAAACAACAGAACACAATACAATGATTGTGTAGATATGCACCTGTGTTCAATGCCACATATCTTGCAACATGACATTAGAGGATTAATCACTTTATATTTGTAACCATATTTGGTATATACCACATGATATATTAAAGGGTACATAATCCCACCAGAGCCCTGATTAGTCAGAACCAGTGTGTGTTCTCTCTCTTGTCATTTCCAACATCTCAAGTGTACACACAATTCTATTTGTTAATATAAGCTTACAGTATTAAATCTAATTTCTTCAGTTATTGAAATAGACAAATTCAATAATATTTTTTTTAATGACGATCTAATGAAATAATTGGTTCTAAGAGAATATTTTGTATGTTTGGAATAATTTCCTCACCTCAGGACAGAGGAATATAAACCTATYAGTGTTATTTTAAGAAATCAGGTTTATTATTGTCACAGATGAAGAAAGTTATATATTAACTTAATCAGCTATAAAATAAGTACAAACGAAATGCTGTATGCCATTAATTTCAGTTCTTACCATGTCAAGCTCCTGCCAGAGTTTAGTGACATCTTCTTCTTTAGATGCTACGGTGTCATCTAGATGTTGATATCGAAGTTTCTTTCTAGCACGACATTCTCTAGCAGATTGTCTGCTTCTTTCGAGTTTTGCTTCAGTGTCTAAATGTGAGGGCCTTCTGCCTCGTTTTTTACCATCTGATCGTTTCATTGAAGGCATGTCAGTCTTKGGAGATTCAGACAGAGGWGAATCTGCTGATGAACTACTTTCAACAGATGAAAAACTGTCGTGTTTCACGCGTCGACCACGCTTTATCCAAAATGGCGGTACGTTGCCGTCTTGTTCTTCGGCGTTAAAATCACGAAGTATTTCTTCTTCGTATGTTGTCACCTCTTCTGCCTTGCCTTGTGAAAAGCTCGAAGCCATCCAACAGTTTCCAAATTCGAAGATGACCTATCACAAATWTACTTTGATATATTTTGGAAGTGACTATAAACTTCCCTGGACATAAAAGCAGAACAGAACAAAAAAAAATATGACGCAATAACTTTCATGACGATTTTTCTATTTTTAGTTGTTGTATTATCTGGCAGCTTGATTGGCTCAAAGCGTTTCGACCAATCATATTTGATCCGATAGATTGAACTCGTGCAAGTCATGTGATTATACTTCGGTTTACGTCACTTCTCACTCTCTCACCGGGCAAGGGAACAGTTTTACCACAGGGAGCCCAAGCAATGAATTCGAGCCTATAATGTCTAATAGTCTACTTTTATTTTATTCAGTGTCAAGGCCCATGTAGTGCTTTTGGAGTAACTTATGACATAACGTGTAGTGAATGCGGCCAGAAATTGGTTGGGGAGACATCCCGTAGTGCGTATTCTAGAGGAAAGGAACACCTAAGGGACTTTGATCGCGAAAACAACAACCAGTCTGTGTTAAAAAGACACTGCAAAGACGTGCATCAAGGCAATAAAGCTAATTTCAGGATGAAGGTCACGGGGGTTTACGGCAATGATGCGATGATGAGGCAAATAGCGGAATCCGTTAGGATAAAGAAGGACGGTGTTATTAACACTAAAAATGAATGGAACACTTTTAGTTTGCCACGGGCGATTTAACAAATAGATCTCATTTTTCCGTGCGTGTGTACTCTAATAGATACACAGATGACGTCAAAATGTAGTGAGAACAAAAAAGTACGCACGAGACGCAGTCGAGTGCGTGACTGTTGTTCTCACTACATTTTGACGTCATATGTGTATCTATTAGAGTACACACGCACGGAAAAATGAGATCTATCTGTTTTATACAACAAACAATTAGTTTTGACGTAATCCGTGTATCTATACTTTGATAACACACGAAAGCCAACCAATTAAAACGTCTGATTTTACTGAAAAGTTGTATAAAGTTCTATCGGTGAGCGTGCAATGCATATTTTAAATAACGCATACAACGGATGTTATAGAAAAGTCTTGTAACTGAGGAGGTTTTGCAATAAAACGAAACTAGTTTACAGACAATACAAGCTGATCGTGCGTCAAGACCGAAAAAGTCAAGCCTTGACATACGAGGAAATCAAGATGAAATTAGTGTCAAAATGACTGTCACAACGAATTATAAATGGTTTTAAAAAATCTCCCCACTCAACAGCAGGGACATTTGTCTGCGCATACGTGAGTCAAATAGAATACATGGCGCGCGGTATACCTGTGTCTGGCGGGAAACTTTGAAGATGGAAGTAAACATGGCGAAGGCTATGTTGAGAGCCGGTGTCCTCTCTTTTGTATTCATTTGCGTGTGTTTTACTCTTCCCATGAATAATGAAAGAAGACGTTTTGTATGTAGATGAAACTGTGCAAAAATAGTCCAATTTAGTGTAAGTTTAAGAACTTGTTTCGGCATAAATACGAGCAGTGATTAAATTATTCTACTCGAAGGTGGAAATTTTACTAAAATTCGCACGTCTTTGTACGTTGATTTGATATATCCACGCAATTTTCAAAGGCGAAATTAATTTAGGTAGGTTTCCGCTCTGGGCACGTCCCCGGTTTTTCAAGAAATAGTTTTAAACCAGTGGGCCCGACATATTGAACTCTAGCAAAAAGAGAAAAACCTTTCGATTGAAGCTTAATCCGAATTCTTGGTCGAAAGTCTTACACTTTCTTATTGTTTTTATTTGCTCGAGAGATGGAGAAAATACATTGAAAGTTCTGGCTTTTGGAGATGTTTATTTCCGACATTATGACCAAAAACGTGCGACGTGTCAACATCAACATTTTTGCACACGCCCTTAAAACAGTGAGCTAGAAATGCATGCCACGCAATTTTCATTGACTTGATTTAATAAATAAAATCTGAGAGTTCTATGAACAAGGCTTCGTCCAGTTGTTAATTTGTTCTGGGCACGACCTACGACAAAAGTCCTGGTGTGTTATTCAAAATTGAAAGAACCAAATATTTATATTGAAGTGGATATTTCATKATGAAACTTCACAAACAACTTCCATATTGATGTCGGCCAAATTGCATCAGGTAATTAATACAACTTCTGACAATGTAAATCTTGGATTTCAACTCGCTTCGTTTATAAATTACCAAGAAATTTCTGTTTGCTTGTCATCTATACAAAAACATTCCATCTAACGTGAATCGCATAATCTCAGACCCATTAGATCTTGATCATTTCAGTCTTTATAAATTTTAACATGTTTATCCAGTTTCATGACTCCCTGTGACAAAATACACCAGATATGGATGGCTTTTTTGATCTCACTGTTGAGAAATTTGACTTTTCATGATATGGTGTGGTTTCATAAAATGTTCAGCCGTTGGTGTCCTTTGTGGAAGATCGCTTCTCATTTCCAAATAAGACATTATTTTCGCTTAAAAACAAGCACGTTGTAAACAAAAGACCCCATTCTTTCGCTATTCTTGACAGAATTTTATCAAATATCTTTTGATCTTGAACAAAAAGTGAGGCATTTTCAAGAGTCTTTCATTCAGTTCCCGCCTTTTTATGAAAAACATCAACTATCATGCATTGCCCGCGATATACGTGCGGTCAGCGTCAACAAATGTCCCTGGATGGCAAAAGTGTGGGCTCTGGGTACGAGATTGGCTGTTTCCCCACTCAGGAGCCCATGCCCCACTCTATTTTTATATATAGGAGGGGAAATTTTTTAAAACCCATTTACAATCCATTGTGACACTGAATAACATGGAAGTAGACTATTTTTTAAGTAAAATTTTATTTTTAACTATTTTATGGGTTCAAAGTCACTGCTTGGGCTCCCTGTGCTTTAAAATGAAAACTGAGCGAGTGAAATCATAGGCTGCCCAACTAATGCATTAGAGACAGAAAAGAACGAATGCGCACGCTTTAAAAATAATGTTTATAAAATTTTTGATATATAAAGAGCGCTCTGATTGGCTGACGACCGTGTTTATATCAGAGGACAGAGACACGGCTTACCGGCAAAATTTTCTTTTCGCTCGAAAAAATTTATAAAAGAAATATAAAACGGCCGCCTTTGTCTCTGTCCTCTGATATAAACACGGTGGGAGTTGAAAAACACTCGTGAAGCAAGAGAAACACTCGCTACGCTCGTGTTCCTAAGCTTGCTTCTCTCGTGTTTTTCGAACTCCCACCGTGTTTATATCAGAGGACAGAGACACGCGCGCCGTTTTATATTTCTTAAATATATATCGGCGCGTGCTCTTAGAAAAATTCGGGTTACCTGTGGTGTTACGTCACGATCCCGCGCCTCGTGAGTACATACTTTATCTGTGACAGATTAGTGTAGTCCCGCCAACTGTACTGCCGCCAACAAGGGTATCGTTTTCAGCGATTTTACTCTGGAACTGGGTATCGCTTTTAGYGATTTTACTCTGGAACAGGCTATCGATTTCAACGAATTTCTCTGGAACAGTTCAGGGTTTAATTACGGAATTATTGATGCTGGGTAAAAATTCACGGGGTAAAAATTCGGTCTACACGCAGGCTAGTGCTAGATTTTCTCTGGAACAGGATATCGTTTTCAGCGATTTTGCTCTGGAACAGGGTATATTTTTCAGCGATTTCACTCTGGAAAAGGATCAGATGTCCCAGCGGCACACCCTCACCCNGAAGCTTGGTTTTCTGGGCTCGACTGTAACTCGGGAAATGTTATGATGATGCCCGTAGCTTACAGAACAATCATAAATTCTTGTAAAAATCGCACGCTCCACTTAATTTTTTCAACCCGTTAACTTACGCGCGCAAACCTATTTCATTACAACGCACTGAGGAAGGTCATCAGAGTTCTGACCGAAAAGTCTGCGTTTTCATTAAAATCTTAAGCTAGTGAAAAATATTTTTTACTTTTCCTTGTAAATTTGACAGACTTAAATGGTCGAGCACGAATGATGAATCAGTCTAGCGTTTGTCTTTTGAAATGTCTTTGATGTTTTATCGAGAAATCATGTGACTTTTATTTTAATATATTTTCATTATTAAAAGTTGTCTTTAATGAGTGGAGAGACAAAAATCGAAATGCTATCAATATACTTTCCCTATTTTTTAATTAATCACAAAAAAAGAAGGCAGACTGGCTACCTGTGTGTCCGGCATTACGCATGCGCTGTGTTGGCTCTAAAATTTGAATACACAGTTCGAAATTTACACAAGACAGGGTAACCAAAACAACGTTAACAACAGATGCCATTTCTTGATTTTCTTTGACAATACAAATGAAAGGACATCAGAATCTTAACCGAATGTTATCCAAAATATCAAAAGAACGAATCAGCGGACTTTTTCTTAGAGAATAGCCAGCAAAGCTTCGATAGTTGCTGCAATCCTTGAGAGGGTACATTTCAAAATGTCGCTTTCAATGCCACTGGCCGGTAGTTTGGATGCGAAAATGTCGATGATTATGGCTACGATTMTAGCTTAGTCTAGCATCAAAGGACAATGAGCTCAAGTCAGTCTTCTTATGAATTCAAAGGGGATTCYACGTCTGTCCGTGTGACTCCAGTAACGAGTTATGACCCATTTGAGGTTAGTTCAAGCTGTCGTCTAACTTGTTGGGAATCCTTTTCTTTGATATCAATATTACATGTGGTTCACTAAAAAGTTTCTACAAAATGGCAAACTGTGTGGTCAGTTGATAAACTAAAACAATTATCCCGGTTTATAGTGTACAAAATTACGTACGTCTTCCTCAACCTCATTTGATGAAGACGATCAACTGCTTCAGCGCTACAACGAAGTTTATAATCGTTTTGTTTTCTTTGTTGTATCACTAATTTGCTAGTCTCTTGTCATTAATGCTTCTTTGTTCATGCTTTGGCTCATAAACAAAAAGTATAATCACTCCTATTCTCTGCTATAMTGTAATAAAATGGTAGTATAAATATTTTTTTTAAGATTATAGGCAAATGTCGTTTATGATGATGTTTATATTATGAAGGCTTGGCCTACATTATATTGTGGTATATCGCATTGGCTTACATCTAATTCCAATGTATCACTGTAATGAGAAAGTCATTTTTAGGTGAAAATATTATATAGTGTTGCACATATTTTGAATATTATGAGAAAAGCATTTTTAAATCATCTGTAATTTCACCTTTGTTAATTCCCATGTTGTGCATACAATGAAATTCATTGACTGGCTGATTGATTGATTGATTGATTGATTGATTGATTGATTGATTTATCATTCATTGATTTCATTGGTTGTCATTAAATATTCCTTTCCAATTAATTAATCAATTAATCAATCATAGCTCAGATCTAGAAAATCTGGATCTGTTAGCATAATGGCATTGACTGTCATACATAGGTTGTCATTCAACATCCCTTTTGCATTAATGAACAACTACAGCTATGTTCTTGAAAATGTGGAGCTGTTATCAAAAAAAAAACAAGTGTTCCCTGCAAGGCTAGAGTTGTCATTTCCTATAAAGACTTTCATGCATGGTAGCTGTAGGTGTCCTAAAACTGGATGCAACAGAGAGGTACTTTTACTACTGGGAGAGATCTTGTTAAMTGAAGTGCTGTTCATTTTCTAGGCAAAGTTTTGTGCTTCACTATTTTGGCTGGTCTTAATGAAGACACAAGATGGAAATCTGGAGAATATGCCACCTCAAGTTACTTGCCCAATTGAAAGAGATGCTGAAGTAATACAATCAATCAATACAATATAAAATCTCTATCTATAATTATGATATAATAAGGCAAAAAATTATATACTTGTACAAATTAGATGTATAGTACATGTATATGTGTAGATTGGGGCTTTCAGCTTTTTTACATATGGCACAACACAAGTATACTTTGTGGCCACCTTATTTGTTGAACTTAAAAWWTTKTTGTCTCTTTGTCCATTCAATAACATGGTTGGCATTCTTCTCAAGAGATAAAGCTCAYAACTAAAAAATCATAAATCCTAATAACTCATGTATGAAATTGCAGTCAGTATACATCATTTAAACATTGACAAATAGTTGCCTGTGAATTGTATTTTTATGATTATACAAACAGATATTTTGGTTGAGACATTGTCCTTTATTAGCGTGAAAGACCTAATTTTATARCAAGTCATATGCAACTATCTTCAATGTTTAAGAAATCTTGTATTTTCATTCTTAGCAAAGAATTACTGTCCGACCTGAAGTAATTGAGTTACTGACCAATGGTGACGTCTATAATAGTGTATGCAACAGCATATTTGACAATAAGCAACCAATTGTTGGTCATTGGGCTGTCATCCAGTGCTTATCACGTAATGGCTTCTATGTGGTAGAAGATGGAGACATTCCTGTTACTGACTCTACTTTACAGCAAAAGAAACCTTTCAGAAAGGTATGTGCAACTAATAATATATACATTATTAAATTTGTCAATAATTCACAGGGCTCAAAATAACGTTCACAAACATATGCAGGACAAGATGTCCTTCCAACAGATAGACACAAGGGGAAGTCTTTTCTCTAAAAAATAATATAATTTTATCTTGAAGTTTATACAAAAATGTATAAACTTAACATCTAAGCTGTTATCTTGTAAGGGTACCATTAGATGAGATTGACGACAGTGCTTTGCTGAACCTTTTTGTCTCTAGTCCAAGTGAAAATACTTAAAATTTAAATCTTTGTTTGTTTTTAAGTGGTATCTTTGAGATGCAAAATTCTTGTTGTCACACCCAGCTTCATAGGGTGGTCACAGTAGCAAGATGTACTATTCCACCTCCCCTCCCGCCCCAGGGTATTGCATCTTCAGCAACACAAAATAAACATTTTGCGGGAAGGAAAAACAAACCACCGACTAGCCCTTTGCTGCCAAATGCATCTTGTTATCTTTTTGTTATTATTATAGAATTATATTTATTATTTTACACCTTTTTCTAATAGTCCACCCACTTAGCACTAATGGATGGGTTGATGTCGGCTTATTCATCCAAGGTYGTTACCATACCACAAGTAGTCCAGGCTGTCAGGTGCTCTACAATACAATTTATGCAGTACTGTTGTGTTTTATATTATAACGTTAACGCAATACGTATATGTAGTCTGGCTGAAAAGCTAGAAAAATCAAAATTTTTCACATTGATTTCAATAAGCGAATTTATTTTTTATTTTTTTATTTTCATTTGGGACAGCGTTTTTGAAAACAGGTGTATCTCATAAACAAATTTCGAAAAAAAAGAGGGGAAAAAGAGGGGAAAAACTGAAATTACTAAATTGTTAATTTGCTTTTGACGGCATTTTTGTTGTTTTGCACTCCCTTGAGGTGGGAGAACAAATAGAAACACCACGAATGTCGATCAGTGTGTGTGAAAAATTACTGTCTCTTAGGAGGTTTGCCCCATTCAACGCGTCAAAGGAGCTTCCTTTCGACTTGGAGGACGCATTGCTATTATGGCTGAACAAAGTATGCTCGACGCTGAATGACAAAGAAATTAGTAAACAAAAGCGTCATGCAGAGAATCTACTACGTGACCAAGATAAGGCAAAGAGGTTTCGATTCCGTCGCGATCAGCTCCACCCAAAAGCACAGACCTTATTCCCAATTGTTGACGATTTGTTAAAGGGTATCAGTGACGGTCAGTGCCTTCTAGGCATCGTCTTGTTTTATCATACCGATTCTGTCAAGCTTGAAGGTAAGCGAAAAAGCTTCTAAACTTTTTCACTTTTGATATTAAATACACCTTGCAGTAGACTAAAACATTAAAAGTAAAAGTTGAAGTACCTGTGAAATAGACATCAAACTAATACATCTTTGTGCGCTAAAACTGCATTGTTTCTTTTGTGTTTATTTGACTATCACACTTTAAATAGTAATACTTGATTTCACGGGTTTTAATGACTTCACTATAATTTATGAAACTTAAATAGTACTAAATTGAACTTAATTATGGAAATTACTGTGTTTCGTAGAGTGATCACACTTAAACCGTGCAACTGTACAAAATCTAAGTAGTACTAATTTGTACTAAGAGCGGACCTGAAGGAAGACGGTATTGAATGCTTCATTTGTATCAATTCAATTTAATTTGCGTACCGCATGCACGATTTACTAAATCTAACTAAATAGCACTATTTAGTTTGTACAGTTGCACGGTTCAGTTAAGTACGAACACTCTATTGTAAAACTATAGTGATTAGTACTATTTATTTATTCGTATAGTGCTTCTACTGTATTCCGAGATAACAACAACCTATACAGTAGGTGTACTTGAGCTTTTCAATGTGTGGGTTTTAACTTTTATCRACCGCACCTTTTTTACATAAAAGGAAAGTTCTAGTCTTTTCTTTTTTCCTGATTGTATATTACTATCTCTAATCAGATATCAAGTTTGGTCAAGACCTATCCCAAGGAGACATTGTTCACAACATCGAACTATTTCGTTCCCTTTGTAGTCAGTATGTTTGTACAACATCACTTTCGTTGCAAGTAGAAGACTTCATGTATAGCTCACATGCCATGAAACCTAATCTTGTCGCCCTTCTTGCTGAAATGTTTTACAAATGTGAACTTGAAGATGATACGTTAACTACAGATAAAAAGGTGCGAAGTAAAAGTGCAACCAACATTACTGGTTTTACAAATACTGACAACGTGTGTAACACCAGGAGCTCTAGTGCACCTATGTTGGCTTCTGAAATCATAGCAGCACGCTCTCCATCAGTAGGACGCAAACTTAAAGACTTTGCTAAARAGAAGAATCAACAACGATSCAATCAACAAGTAGAATACGGTGTCGACGAAGAAAAAATCACCAAAAATTCTAGTCAAGAAAAACAAAACACTKCTGGTTCYAATAAAACAACGCGCAGCTATTCATTGCAACTGGACTTCACTGACGAGGATGAAGGTATTGAGGATACCAAGGACAAGGAAAATCCATTTAGTGGTATATATCAAAAACCAGTTCTTCTAAACAGGAAGCATAGTGCACCTGAGCCAAGTCCTTTGGGCGTTTCTAAAGGGGAACCCAATTTGAACAGACGCTCAAAGCAAAAGCCAAGGACCCTAGCATTGGACGACTGGGAAATGGACGAAAAAGATGCCATAGGTCAGTGAGGTTTGATGGTATAATCAAGCGAACATTTTTTTGTTTATCTATGTTGTTCTGTTTATGTTTTGAATTTAGGGCAATACGCTTTTTATCGATATGTTGATATTTTGTGGCGTGCATGTACTATACATGTGGAATGGCTTGCTYATTTGAATGAGGAAAATTAGTATGCAATTTTTTTTATATCGTTTAATTTGTGAAATTTATTACAAAGTGTTTCAGCAATAACAAAACTGATAGAAGATGTATATCTTCTTTTTTTTGTATTAAAATACACTCTCTTCATTCCTTTCTCCTGGAGTTAATGCAAGAGAATCCAAAATGACCAGCCCATATAGAGTAAATCTTTTAAAATAGCATTTGCGAAGAAAACTATCACATTTTTTAAAGTTTTGGGGTAAAAAGACTGTTTTCTATACAAAAGTGATTTTTTMATTCTCAGTCCACGCTATGCAAATTGAATTTACATAGTTTTTACAGCGTTTTCGAGCTTGCTTTTAATGATTTCTTAGTATATTGGAACCATAATTTTAAATSAAATCGACTAATTATTTGCGTTGAGTGAAATATTCTCAGAACAGAAGAGCAAATCAAATTATGTCCATTAGTGAAGAACTTTAATGATTGTAGAAATTGAGGTAAGCTTGTCTTATTTTCGCTTGGTGTAGTATTCAAATTGACTAGAGGACTATTTGAGAGTACAGACCAATCCCAGGCGAGACGATTGAATAATTTATACACAAGCGTAGTCAATCGTATTTACATTTTATCGGAAAAACATGACTGGCAGTTCAAAGAAGGGATTTCAAGGTTCCTTGGTATTCTTTCAGTTTTTTTGATTTCGTTTAGTTACAGAAAGAACAGAAAATGGCAATTCTAACATCAGTTATCTTCCCTCAGGTTGGTAAAGTGATTTTCGAATCATTTTGTAACCATAGTCGGACTGATCGCCCACATTTCTTGTAATCGATCGGCGTTGAAAGTCATAGTAATATTCCAGTTAAGAACGAAATGCASAAGTCGCCCTTCTCATTKTTGTTTGCTTTCGTTTTTGAAAATTAAATAGAAGGCCACYGATTTTAATTTACAAAAATTTTGATATATTGCAAAACTGGAGGTTTCCTAAATCATCAATATTTTGCTAAAATGTATTTCTGTTCGATAYATATTCTTCGTTGATTTATATACGGTAGAACGCACTTTGTTTTGTCTTAATTTTTTATATATTTATGCATTTCTTTTTTCTATTTGTTTATTGACATCTCCATCTATAAATGTTCACGTCTTTTGCTTCACCATCGAATGCCTGATTTTTTTGCGTTACCATTCCGTGACAACGAACACACCTTTGCGTGACTATCTTGTACATTGTATATTCAAATTGTATAAAGGAAATATTTTCATAGCTTTAAGTCATCATGAATATCAAGTCTTTTTTGTATCTTTGGTAAGACATATCATATGTATACATCCAGGCTAATTKAAGTTACGAATTTTTCTGACTATATATATAGTATTTACCGTTAATCTCAAATACAAGAAGTAAAAAGAGACACATTCTATGATTTAGTAATTTGCTGGATTTTGTAACAATAGTAACTGCAAAGTAGCCCGCTTTTGACATTTTGGTTGGATGGTCATGCACAAAAGAACTGAAGACGAGGTTCTGCGTAAACGAAAGAATTATCTATCAGTTCTTTTGTTCATGGTTATTCATGTAGAATATCAAAAGTGAGCTGTTAGCAATGCACATGCAATTAATTTTAGATTAATATCATTGTTTATTATTGTCACATATTATTAGAATAATCGTCATTCACCATTGTCTATTGTTACAGACTTTCAGGTGACTGACCTGCAGAGATCCCATTCTCTCACGGAACTTGATAACAAAATAGTAGAACCAAGGAAATCTTTCCATGCATGGCACGATCAAACCAGCTCCTCTGACCCTTCCCTGGACCAAAACACCATGAAAAGTCAACGAATATCACTGGACTTCAAGTATGTGAGCTTTTCAGTATTCTGGCAAAATCTTCTGTTGATCCCTCATTCCCCAATTAATCCATCTATTAAATAAACTATTGAATATCTATTGATTATTAACTATATCTATTGATATTTTCAGGCCTATGAAATCAATAGATCGAGACATYGTAATAAGACCCTCTTTACAGCGTTCAGAAAGGAACCATGATGATCGTGTATCACAAGACAGCCTACTATCAAGTAGTCCCAGGTCTGTTGATAGTTTATCCAGTAAACAACCTCGTGGTCTAAAACAAAAAGAAAATCCAGGTAATTCATAATTGTTTTGAGCTGTAGGTAAACAGTTCTGCGATTGTACGCCGCTATTTGARGATTTATTGTATAATTTGGTGTCTTTTGTTGTTGTTTTTTATTTTTTATTTTGTATAATGATTTCTTGTTCTAGAAACGTCAGCCATCTTGAATTATCCTCCATTTTGCTTTATTTGCATTTCTGCAGGCAGTTGCAATTCAAGATGGCGGACGTCTATTGCATGATCAAACTTAAAAAAACAAGTGGAGAACAATCTCATGTCTATCATGTCCTTTTAGCATTTGTAGTTGCTGTGTTTAATGGTTGTTTTTGTGTCGACAATTTTTCTCTCTGTTTATTAGTAACGCAAAGCACCATATCAGAACAAGAACTCAAGGAGTTCGAAGAGATGGAAGCCATTGTTCTTGCTCAACGAAGTTATGATTTTAATCTGAATAAGTCTAACGATATAAACGATGAAGATGGTCTTAATACTAGTGTCAGTAGTGACGACATGAATCGCTTTCGACTTGAAGTATTACAAAGACTTACAGCAGATAAAATAAAATCACTAGAAATGCAAAGTGATCAAGATGCTAATAAAGTCGATGGTGAAGTCAATTCTTGTCAAAGTGCGGAAAGCAGACCTGACACTAATCAAGAAGGGCTTAATGTCCCTGACGAAAGGCCTGAAGAACTTTTATCTCCCATCAACGAGTCTTCGGAGCCTCTACATTCAACAGGATCYTTACCTGGAACACATTCATCAACTCCATCTACTGCTCCCAGCAGCCCTTGCTCTCCTCTGGATGTAGCGCCTTTTACACCTGAGTTTTTCATGACTTCGCCAGCCAATACTATTGATAAGAAAGCTTACAAAAAAGCGGCTGCTTCTAAACAGCGTCAGAAAGACTCATCAAAAAATCAATCCAGTCTCCTAGAGGTTATGCCATCTGCAACACCACGGCTCGAAGACATGAACAATCCACCACGAAACAGGTCAGTAGAACTTCTGGCACGAGGAAGTTACACAATGGACCAAATATCAATTGATGCGGCTAAAGCTGCAGGGATACCTGTCATTGGTTCTGACATCGAACTTAGAAATACTCCAAATCAAATGAGACTTTCTAGAACTACTTTACGAAGTCTATCTGTACCTTTAGACAATGATCCTATATTACACAAAAGGTCCATGCAAGACAGGCCACCTAGCTCTAGTCTCTCCCATGCATCATTGGTGATTGATGATCAAATTCCACTTCATGAACGGGGTGTGAATAGTGGCTCGTATCCAATAGTCAGTGACTTAGGACAAGATGGCCGATATTTCTCTTCGCAACAGTTTGAAGATGTTGTTATATTTGATAGACAGACATCTGACATTCACCAAGCAGTTGCTCCAAGTAACATTGGTCTTCCATACACACGTGATCAAAGCTATCACGAACCAAGACCGTCATCATTCGTCGSTCGATCCAATACTAATGAGGGTACTGATTTAAATTCCTACGATGGAGTTAACAGACATAGTTTTTACGGTCAAAAGTTTGTTAACCAGCATGATATTGATGGTAGTCGTTCACCTCGTAACCACGATCCTTTTCGAGAATATATCACTAGAACGTCGCACATTCCCACAAACACGAACAACATACGAAGTTATTCTAACATACCTGCAAGTAACGAATTAGTTAACCAAAGTATAAGAACTTCGAACCAAGAAATGAATTCACGGTATAATAATGCTAATAACAGCCCAGCAATGTCTCCTCGCCCTGATTTGCATAGCTTTGAAAGTGGAGGATGGGGCACTAATCAAGAATCAAGAGTTGTCTACAATGACCAATATGGAACCTACGTTAAGAATAGAACGACTGATCCTGGTTACCATGGCAGCATTGATAYTGTCACATCCATGTACTACCAAGACGCCCAAGATCAATCCAGTCCCAGATATACAAATACCCAAGGACAGTTTGCAACATACCGAAAGGACCCACATCAAACAAGTATGTTTAGACAATCAGCTACCGGACACCAGCTTGATTCAACAAACCAAATCATGACTTCTAATRTYCATTGTATGGCGTCTGGTGCAATGCCGCTGGCTAGTAGTCGTCCAAACTGGGAATATCAACCAAACACTTCAGACGTCCAGACTTTCGTTCGTTCTTCTAATCAGCCATACACTGCTTGTGTTGAGCCTGGTTACCAGTCCCCTAATGTCTTTTCAAGTTCAAGCAATCAGCATACAATGTCACCAAGGCACACCAGCACTTTACCTCATTACCACGAGCAAGTACCCACTCACCAGGGATATAGCCCGAATAAAAGTCCGAACGCTTTGTCGTCTCATGAAGTAGTTCAAAGACACAGAAATGAAATGATTTCTAGTCCAGCACAACTTCACGAACGCCAACACCCATGCACATTGAGAATTGACGGAGACGAGCGTGTAAAGACACCAGAACGTAAATCCCAAGCGTTCACAGTGGATTTAGACACGGGTGAATTTAAGGAATTTAATAGTAGTTCAGAGAGCACCTCTCCGCGTTCTCCAAGTTCTACTATCATTAGGTCAAAAACGTTCAGAAAAGGACCAGAGGAAAGAGTGTTTGAGTATGATTCGAAGTCGTTACAAAGCCAGCAAAATAAAGAAAAAGTTTATCCACAGTCTTCTGAAGGCTACCCAGCGTTTGCTCTTCAGAAAGATGAGAATACGCCTGCTTGTCTTGTTAACAGAACAAGTTGGTCTGAATCAGCAGAGGCCTTGAAGGCCGTCTTATACAATGGATTTCCCAAAACTATTAAGGTTGGTGTCTCAGTRTAGAAAGATCCATCTTAATATTCAAGATGTCTCAKTTGTTGAAACACCTATTCACATTACATTCCWCCAAGTTAATCCACATCGGAACGGATTAAAATAAACTCGGTTATGCCTCGGAKTTTTTATTTGTTTGTTTACCTACTCATATTTACTCATTTGTATGGTTATGTTGTCTTGTCTTGGGTGTGCTGCTATTAGGGGAAAAGTGTTTGATTTAAGAAATGATATGCTTGGCATTTAAAACAGGATAATGATGTAATACCCAGCTCTGGTGTACGAACATCAAGCCCTCGAAGGACAGATAAGAAAAGTCCTGGTGCTCGTGTTACATGGATTACGGCAGGAAGAAACTCGTTTGGAGGTCAAGTTATGCTAAATGAAAAAGGTAACAAATTGTATTGTAGCAAATTGGCTGATTYTGTAGCAATTAAGACTGCTTCCCCTCTATGCGTTAAGATAAGATTTTCTATCAGTTTTCGTCAAAGCAGGAAGCCGTTTTTAAAGACAGGCATCGGTACCTTGAACGAGCCTTAGAAATTAGCGTTGCGAGCAGTGYGTATAATCACATGTTGGATTTAGAAGAAAATGATTTTAGATATGTCTTTGAAAGCGCTTATATTAAAATATATAAATGCCATAAAAATATGTGTAAATAGAGCAGTGTCATCAAAAATCATACATTCTCTAGTATTTCCGCAAAATGGCAAAATTAAAAATATTGCCATTCGTTGGGTATTAATCAAAAAGTTTGAAAAAAGGTAGAAGTAACTGGAAACAAGGTAGGAGTAACTTCCTCTGGCTTCCAGTTAATGAAAGCGGTACAAATTACAATTAGGGATTGGCTGGATACCTCATAAATAATTAATGAGCATGAAATTCATTTCTAGACCCCTAGACCCCTTTGCGTGTTTTTTCTCCGGATTCTCCGATTTTTCTTCCCTCAGTAAAAATTAACCAGTTTCAAACTAAGCTGTGCTTCCTGATGAGTTGGTGTCAGTTATGTGTAGGTGTAGGTAATATGTAGGTAATTGTGTCAATGTACTATTCGTAAGTACCTCCGACCCGATCACGAATGTTGCGTCCTCTTAATTCAGCATTCCAGCTGCAAGTGAAGAAGAGCTACTTCAATTTGTATTGACYTTTTTCAGTCCTATTTCATTCAAGTATATGGCATGAGATGCAGACCTCACAAGCTCTTTGAAGGGCTTGATAAAGATGCAGACAGTTTTTTTTTAATCAAAAAGTTTAAAGTTTGTTTTACCATCACGGGAACGACAATGATTTTGCGGCACCAGCATTTTAGTAACTAGCCGGTGATATGAGAAGCAAATCTATGAGAACGAATTTGCCTCCTTTGCTGTCACTGTGTGTGTCKGTCACGCTTTCTCCTGCACTGGGGGGCACTGGGAATCGTGACGGACAATAACGGCTCAAAAGGAGACTATGAGCTAAAAGCTATTAAGACTATTAAGAAAGATAAAGACTAAGAAAATGATGATGACCGAGAGAAAAGCATCTTCGATGAAATCMTACATTACAGGCTGTGGAAGATGAACAAATATCTTTTAAAATGYGCTAATTTAGCTACATCGTTACACTATGAAACGTTTTTGTTGATTTTCTTAGTGGATGTCATTTAGTCTTTTTTAAATATTTAAAATATATGAATGTTTTTTTTAGATTTTTTTTATTTATCATTGATAGTCTTTGTATCAGTTCTCGTTTAGTGATTCTAACCGGCCTCTATTTGGAAATAAAGTTTGCAATTATTTTTGTGAAAAGTATCGTCATTATCGTTTATATAACAAAGATTTGACAATGCTTTTCCATGCTCTGTAATGTTCACCCAAATCGCACGTGTTCAAAACAGAGACAGAATGTCGTCTTACATGTAAATATTGTTGGACTCTGAAATCTATGGCGAGATTTTGTTTGCCGCCAGCTGTTTTCAACGTTGATCACACCCAATAACGTAATACCGTCACACCTTAAAATTATGCATGTATACTTTTATACTCTTTCTTTGATCCTTCACAAGATCGTTTGAAATTATATTGATTTTTCTTAAATAAAGGTTCGTTAGTGCATTCTTTCTGTTTAATTTCTCACGTTRTTTTGCGAGTAATTCATTTTCATTGTTAGTGTGGGTCATGGGGTATGTATATGTGTTTGGCGTGCATCTTCCACGGTGACACAAATAATGCTGTATTATTTAGCTTTGTTGTCAACATTCATTTATTCTGGCGTTATTAACTTTTGAACACTGACTAGTATATATACCAGGTCACAGGAATGTGTTACAATTTGAAAGGTGTAATTTTTTTTGGAGGGGGGTATGCATGCGTTAAAATAGCGTCATTGCGATCTATTAGAACAAACTTGGATTCCATTTATCATATTAGAATACATGTATCCGTGGTATTTCTTTATAGTTTTAATTCATCCATCCATGTTATGATTTTCTTGTGGCCATTTTGTCTATGTGAGGTGAGCTTTTACGATTGGACCTGTATGTAAACGGTGTGATCCCGCCAGTGTCACGCTTGTCATACTTGACTGAACAGCGTCTGTCACCGGTGTGCCGTAAATAGAAACACGAGAAATTCTCGTTCGATGCGCCAGTAAAGCTGCTGTCAGACCAAGAARMKTGCTTTTRCTTGGGAATCGCAGGTGAGTCATTCTCYCTGTAACTGGTTTAACTTTAATTTGAATAATTCATTTCAATTCAGGTTTAGATTGTTGATGTTATACCTTAATAATACTGAATCAATTTGCATCTTGACAAATCTTGAATAATTATAAAGCGATCGTCGATGTTAAACCGTATGGACCAATATTTTGTGGGTATGTGCCGTCTAGCTGCTGTGAGACTAAAAGCTGCTTCGATTTTTTACGTTCTTGGCTTTACTATGACTTCATAAAAGCGACTGGTCAAATGTGTTATGGCCACACATCGCCTGAATGTTCAAATGCTTGGGTCTATTGAATGAATATACAAGCAAGCAACCCTCAAGACTACTAAAACGTGTTTGACATCGYCAGTGTTTAGTATCCCAGGATGTCKAAAGAATTATTTGGCGAAATTTAYCGATTTGTCTATAAATCGTCGATATATATGATTTACTAGCACTGCCAAGCCTTTGTCGATGATTAGACTCGTGTAAATATTACTCAACGAAAGGCTCAAACTGACGACCTGATCACATTAATGTCAGTATTATACGTATATTTCACCCGAGAACTTTGTTATGAGATGGTCTTAGMTTGCCTTCTACGCCAAAGAACATCAAATATCTATTAATTTTACATCGACAACAAGAGTATTTACGAACACTCGAATCTTTGAAAATAAACATTTATCTCCCAACRTTACAGGAGTCTGCTTTCCCAAATTTTGATTCCAGAATTCGAGGTAGRAAAATTTCCACAGATTATACTATATTTTTATAACTGAAGGGAGTTCACCATATTTTAGGATTTAGGGATTTAAATAAAATGAGTCAAGTTGACCCACACTTCCGGTGAATATTTGCATGTCGCAGTAACACGTATTCGTGTGCGTAGTGATTGATTTGTTCAGTAAKWTAAACTGCTCAACCTTTTAGAGCTGTTCACTATCAGACAGCATTAAAACGTTTTAGTTCATTTTACTGGTATGTTTGTTGAAGAGACTATAAATAGCACAGCGATTCACTGAACCTATTTTAGACATCTTTRAAATTTAGTAGTATAAATTAAAAATTCTTGTATTTTTAGGAATCAGGACATTACATTTGGGTAGTAGATTCTATTGACGTTATTTGTATGTATTTTACAGCAACTGAAATTTTATGTTTTCTCTTGTATAGATTCGTATGTTGTATGGTGTGAAAGTCTGCTGAACAAAATATCGTGGGCTCAGATTACATATCAAATGCAAATGTTGCAAAGAAAACAGCGAACTGAACCTGTTCACATTTTTATAACAATGACTGTTTAATCTCGAGTGAGAACAACGATGGATGAAAATATCATGKCAGATAGTGGTGGTTCTCCTTTATCCCACGATAGTGATACAAAATTGACTCTTGCTGGCGAGAGTCAGTCAGCAGAATTCAGTGAGAAAACGGATCTAAATCAAGCTTCATTAGTTCAAAGTGTTTCAAACGACGATTGTGCTGGTAAAGATATGATTTTAAGTGAACAAGGAGAATCACGCTTCTCACGGACGTCAACAGATGTAACATCCCCCAGTGCAGACGAAGAACGTCCCAAAACGTTTAGTGAATTGAGAGAAATATTTTCCAAAGGAAATAATGGTCAAGTTAGACCAGATACTCGTGATCTGGACTTGACTCCAGTAAAAGAAAAGCAAAATGTTGATTTTAAACGCGA